ATAACATAGGTCAAGGTGGTAAATTCCTAAATTTCATGCAGCAAGAAGAGAAAATAGAGAATATAAATATAAACTGTTCAGCTTGTTTTTATTCAGAATTGGCCCAATAAAAGCTATACTTTATTTTCCATATTGTGAATGATGAATTAATTCTCCATAGTACATTTTTTGTTGTTGGTAGAAAAACAATAATACGATTTCCCACAAAATTTGCCGACTTGGACGGAATGGAATGATGATAATTTCTCTGAAATCACATTTTTTCTATGTGGCCTGAACATATTAGAATTTATCTACGGATGAATGGGGATTATTGTAGGGCTAGTAGTTCTGGATCCACGCCTGGATTTGAGTATTCATTTCAATCTAGATACTTTTTAAAAACTTTTTGTACATTCAAGGCAAATGACTACAGTTGAATAATTCAAATGCAGAAGTAAGGTGTATGAATAAGTTCGTATATGACGCATGCATCTATAATGCTATACCGATGTATTATCATTTCCTGATATAACTCCTCCCTGCTCAAATTTCAACTTTGGGCTGGAAAAAAACTGGAAGCGAATTTTTGAGTTCTTTTTCTTCAAATTTCACTTTTTATCCGGTTTTGGTTTCTTCTGTACATTTTGTATTTTCCTGGAGGTATAGTAGGCCAAAACAAGTTGAGTAATGTAGATAATTGTCCGAAGAATCCAATCGGTTGAATGTTAATAAGCTATGTCTTCTATTGATAGTTTATTTGTAACATCGTTATCTCTCTGGAGTTGATGGATATCTTCCAGTGGTATATTTTCTATCCTTAAAGGTTTCCTTTCAAGTGACTCCATATTTAATACTTTATTGTTGATTTTTGGCAAGACAAATGGTTTTCCAAAATTTAATTTCCGACGATTTCCGAATTTATATCGTTTGTATTCGAAGTTGCAATTGGCTGAAATTCGTAGGAGGGTGCTGCCTCTATGAAGAATTGGTTTTCTGGACATTTTGATTTTATTTCAATTCATTCTGGGGCAATTACGATAATACGGGGTAAATCAAATTCGACCAACACCATTCGGAGATAGAGGAGTATTTCCGGAAATAACTGAAAATCGAAATTTTTGTTTTAATTTATTTCCATCGTTATTTGACAACAAATCTCAAAACAAAACACACATTTTCATTGATACTTTTTTTCAACTACACGTTTTCATGTTTAGATTTACTATCCGACTTTTCGTCTTCTGGCAATCATCATTAACTTTTTTTTTTCTATCATAGGCGCCATATTGTTTATACAGAAAAATAGTGCTTCTCATTCTGATCTTATTGATGCATGATTTGTTACGATTTGCTCTTCTGGAACAAAAGTTATAAAAAAAAACAACTTCATATGAGATGGTCATGACTCCATCGAAAAATTTTGTTTAATGAACACTAGTTGTCAGAACTCATCAAACATCATAAGTTTGCACAAATACTTCAGTCGAAATGTTCTCATTCTCAAATGAAGAAAAACAATATGTTGAAAATTCATTATAAATTTAATAGGAATAGTACAAAAACAACACTAATTTATACTGAATTATTTCCGAAAAGACAACAGCCAGATAGAACATCATCCAATATTTTGGACAAACACTTGGAGGAGTATTGCGCATTGCAAAAACCAAGAATGAAATCATGAGCTTGTTATATCTGCCGACAAACAGTTGCTTCTATGAGTTAACCTTATTGCGTATAAACGCGTCATCGATATACAGTGCGGTTGCTCCTAATACTTGCCAGTAGATGATATTCACGAAGCCTGACGAATTCTTCAAACCATGAATGTTTCTTTCCATATACACAACGCCTTCTCTATTGTCTATGGTCAATGAGGAGAATGGTTTTAGCGGTAGAAGCAGAAAATTGTTCCACTGATTACCGATCTTAATGGCAATCTCCTTGAGGTGGAATTGTTGCTCAACAACAAATCACTGAATATCGACAACTGCTAGTCTCATACTGTGAACTATGACTTATTGGAAACTGCTAAGATTTGAAACTAGTTCTGAAAGAGTTGTTTTAATGGTTTTGGATGCTGTTGTTGAGATGACTCTGACCTGATATTGCACACGTTGACAGATTTTTTCTAAAATAAATTTGATTTTCAACATACACCAAAAAATATTTTTTTCAACAGTGAGGGTAATGTTTCTCATGGAGTGATGGTAAAAAATTAATGAACTACACCTACAATTGAGACAAAATCAACAGTCATCCAAAACAGGGAACTCAAAACACATATTCTGCACTTACTAAACAAAGAAAAAGTATTGTGTGAAAACACCACTTTATGCGGATCATTACTGTGAATGAATATTTTGAGCCAAACAAAAACAATTGAAAACAACAAACTTTTTGCATATCAAACGGAGAAAAAATGATAAAAAATACTAATCTTGATTTCGTTCAATTCCAAATGAAACAACATGATTTGGTTTCCCAACGTCCATTAAGCCTTTGAACAACAACAGCGTATGAGAATTCTTCCAAATGGATGCGATACTCTTCTGTCACTCGGTGCGGCAGAAATGATACCGCCTCACCAGATTTACCACTCACGATTTCTGCTGCCCATATCCTCTGCGGCGTCTTCACAGGCAAATCTACTACTTTGATGATTTGTTTTCTCTCCACGACCGAACTTGCATTAAATTTTTGTAAATTCATCTGCGAAAATACAAAAATACAAAAGTTTATGTTCTGAATCAAAAATTATACGAACACTTTCTCAAACGACGTCATGAAAAATGGAAAACATTTGACTGAATATATACTCAAATGGTAAGTCAACAACTCCCACCAACATTGAATTGAATAACATTTGCTTTAATTATTCTGAGAAAAACTCAAACTCAAAACGTATAAAAAAGCTTGCAATGAAAACTCAAAAACTAAGCATAGAAAATAATCAAAAACAAACATACATTCAAATGAAATCGGTTCACTTGTCATTGTTATAACTTTCAACTGATACAACTATCTCATTTCGCCACGCAGGACGTATTTATAGTAAAATATGTAATAATATAACCCAAAATGAAACAGGAAAAAAAAGTGTCTTTGTTTCGTCATTTTGAGAACTGCGTATCTCCAGGTGTCGATTCAGCAAGTCACCATTAACATTGATCAATGTCCCTTGAATATGGATAGGAGAATCGGTGAAATTAAACAAAAAAATTGTAGAGTAGTTGCTTCGTTATTTTGAGTTGTATTGCCGGATGTCGATTCAGCATTGACATTGATCCATGTCACCTTGGATATGAATAGAGAAGATTGACAAACAATATGAAACACATAGATTTTGCTTTCTTTTTCTTCGAGAAGAAAATAAACTCTTGATTTTTAATTTTATGAAAGATTATTTAAAACCGAATACTAATTACTCGATATAATTTGGAAACTCTTAACTCATGAATAATTTCATAAAATGTAAAATGTACAAAACTTGTTAACAATATCAAAGGTCAGGAACAAAAATTATTATTGGATCAATATGGAACAAACTATTACAAACTACATAATATCGTGTAATATTTGTTAAAACATAATATGCAAACATTAGTTTCGATAGAAACTCCTTCAATAAAAGGTCAGGAACAAAAATTATTTTTGGATCAATATGGAAGAAACTATTACAAACTACATAAAATCGTGTAATATTTGTTAAAACATAATATTCAAACATTGGTTTCGATAGAAACTCCTTCAAATCCTTTTCAAATAATCCACATTCAACGCAAATGACATTAGACTAATTGGTCTCAAAGCCTTCGCCGAGTCCTGTCCGATTTTCCCAGGTTTCGCAATGAAGGTGGCCCTGATCAGTCTCCAAGTTTTTGGTATGTGTCCAAGTGCTAAGCTTGCCCTGAAAATTATACACAATTTTTTGAAAAGTGCTTTCGGTCCCTTTTGAAGTATTACTGGGTATATGCCATCAGGTCCCGGCGACTTATAGGGTTGAAATGAGTTTACAGCCCATTCAATTTTCTCCATATCTATCACCTTCTTTGCCATTTGCCAGTCCTCTCTGGATGCCCTTTTCGGGGTCTCCAGTTCTGAATTCGCCCAGGAAACGTGTATGTAGAGATGATAGCTCCCTGTAATCGATCTGCTGCCAACTCTAGGTCTATGGAATCTCTGATGTCAAAATCCATACGGTCTAAACAGGTTTCCAGGTCCACCGTATAGGCTCCCCAGTTTGTTTTCCGGGGATTTTGATATATTAGGATCGAGGTCTGAATCCCTCCGATTTCAAAGTTTATGTGTCGATGGTCTGAACAACTTTCCTCATCGGACACATTCCATTTCCGAACATAGTTACTTACAAATGTAGTTCCTACATTTAAAAAAACACCTGGCATACAGGTGGATCGAAGACCAAACATGGAACGGGAGCTGGAATGTACCGAGCGGATAGAAATCTCAACTACAGCTATCCGCTAGGAATAGTCCTAAACGGATGTGCAATTTCAAGAAGTCGTAGAATTTCCCCATAATAACGTTTTGTCACAGGATGGAGGTCAATGCGAAAAAATATTTTCGGAGACAACCTCTAGAAACCCGGATAGCAGATTCGTGGTGAATTTACCATTAAAGCAGGGTCCAGAAGTTTTAGGGAAATTGAGAGCTCAAGCGGAGCAACGATTCTGTTCTCTAGAGCGTAGGTTGATAAAAAATGCTAAATTATAACATATGTATAAGGACTTCATGGTAGAATATATGTCACTGAATCACGCGTCTCTCTGCAACGAGGCAGATCATCCACAATACGAATATTATATGCCGCATCATGGCGTGTTGGCGCCAGTCTTACTACCAAACTATGAGTAGTATTCGATGCGTCCGCACCAGCCAGTAGTGGTCTATCATTAAATAATATTCAACTGATCAACCTGGTTATGCAAAACGATTTGCTTTCAATTATATTGAGATTCCGGCAGTATACTTTCGTTATTTCCGCGGACATCGCCGAGATGTATTGCCAAGTACTGGTACATCCCGCACAAAGGTTGCTCCAACAAATTTTATGGCGAGACCATGCATCTAAGCCTATGGAGACTTATGAGTTAAATACAGTCACATACGGTCAGGCATCAGCGAGTTTTCTTGCTATAAGATATTTGTTTGAACTATCGGAGAAATCGAGCCCCGATATAGCTAGAGTAATCAGGGAAGATTTTTACGTCGACGGCATGTTGACGGGCACCGATTCATTACAGCAAGCTCGTCAAATTTGCGCCGAAGTTTCTGAAGCTTTGAATAAAGGCTGCTTCAAGCTACAAGAATGGTGCTCTAACGATCCCATGGTACTTCAAAATATAAACCATTCAAGTTTGGTTCATTCTAGATTTCTCCGGCGATGACAAAACAAAAACTTCAGGCCTAACCTGGACGTCTAAGGGAGATACTCTACTTTATAACATCGATATTGATGGAGATCAAAAACGAGTTAATGAAAGGTCAATACTCTCTTGCGTAGCTAGGTTATTTGATCCACTGGGTCTTTTAAGCCCATACATAATAATGTCCAAAATAATTATGCAAAAAACGTGGTCCAAAAAAATCGCTTAGGACGATGACCTTCCAAACGATTTGAAAACTTCTTGGTTCAATTTCTATGAAGAATTACCCGTGGTAAACAATTCGTCTATAGCGCGTCATGCTATAATTCGTGACGCTGGATAATTACAGCTCCACGGATTTTGTGATTCCTCGGAAATGGCCTATAGCGCATGCATTTATCTGCGCAGTACAGATCGATCCCGTTGAGTCCAAGTTACTCGGTTGTGCGCGAAATCTAAGGTCGCACCTATAAAAACGATTTCGATTCCAAGATTGGAGTTATGTGCTGCTCTGTTGCTGGCACGTTCAAGTGACATTGTTGTTAAATCTCTAAGGGTGCATCTTAGTTACTGTCATCTATGGTCAGATTCAACAATTACTCTGACATGGATTAAAACCAGTCCAAATTTATTGAAAACCTTTACTGCCAATTCAGAAACTTACAGTGAACTGCCAATGGCAACATGTCAGAACACTAGATAATCCCGCAGATATTGTTTCGAGGGGGTTATATCCTAAACAAATTCTACATTGCACAATGTAGTGGAATGGGTCGGTATGGCTTGCGCTAGATCCATCCAGTTGGCCTAACGAACGAATGAAAGCGACAATAATACCTGATATACTGCCTGCAGTAGTGTTAGAACATTTGAGAATGGTGTAAAAACCGAAACCTTGGTCGTCGTGATATCAATGCATTGAGTACGTGGAAATTAGACAAAGTATTTTATTCCTATATCTAATTGAAGATGAATTTCCACAAAATAAATAAGTCATCAATATCACAAAATAATAACTGAGCTGAAGTCTCAAGCTCTTTTGGCTCAGAAATCCACTAACTCAGCTAATTTTCCCTTTAAGAATTTCTTAAATTATTCTAAACTGCGCAGCTTATAGCTTATATTCTGCGCTTTGCAAATAATTGTAACCGAGCCAAACCCGAGAGAAAAAACGGTTCTCTCACAAGTCTGTCAATCAGACAGTTCCTCTCTAGAATTTCGAGAAATATCCAAGAATGGATCGAATATTTTCGAGCTATACGAAATTTCGGAAACAAGTGGTGTTAAATGTCCGTATTTATTTGCCAAACTTTTAAAGTAAATCTGATTATTGCTTGATATCTCATTTTATCTATTATAGTTTTTTTATGAAATTTTTTATTTCAAGGATACTTAAATCAATATCGCTTAGGAAAATGTGTTTGATAGTTACAATTTTTGAAAAACCAAGTTAGAATGAGAGGATTCCGGGGGAAGGACTTATTTTTTTTATTTCATGTTCTGGATCGGCCCTGACCATTGCTATTAATGGAGGTTCAGGATTTTCAGGTTCTTCATTTTGAGCCTGTAACGAAGGTGGCTTTCTTGATTCTTTTATGTGAATCATTTCAACTTTTCCTGGTCCTAAAAATTTGTTGTGCTTTTTATTTCTGTTTTTGGGATTTTTTTTAAAAAACTTTCTTTAGATGTTGATGTTCGATTGAGGTGGATGAAGTTCTACGACATCCGGCAATACAACTCAAAATAACGAAGCAACTACTCTACAATTTTTTTGTTTCATTTCACCTATTCTCCTATCCATATTCAAGGGACATGGATCAATGTTAATGGTGACTTGCTGAATCGACACCTGGAGATACGCAGTTCTCAAAACGATGAAACAAAGACACTTTTTTTCCTGTTTCATTTTGGGTTATATTTTACTATAAATACGTCCTGCGTGGCGAAATGAGATAGTATCATTTGAAAGTTATAACAATGACAAGTGAACCGATTTCATTTGAATGTATGTGTGTTTTTGATTATTTTCTATGCTTAGTTTTTGAGTTTTCATTGCAAGCTTTTTTATACGTTTTGAGATTGAGTTTTTCTCAGAATAATTAAAGCAAATGTTATTCAATTCAATGTTGGGGAGAGTTGTTGACTTACCATTTGATTTCTAAAATTTTTCTGAGTATATATTCAGTCAAATGTTTTTCATTTTTCATGACGTCGTTTGAGAAAGTGTTCGTATAATTTTTGATTCAGAACATAAACTTTTTTATTTTTGTATTTTCGCAGGTGAATTTACAAAAATGTAATGCAAGTTCGGTCGTGGAGAGAAAACAAATCATCAAAGTAGTAGATTTTTCTGTGAAGACGCCGCAGAGGATATTGGCAGCCGAAATCGTGAGTGGTAAATTTGGTGAGGCGGTATCATTTTTGCCGCACCGAATGACAGAAGAGTATCGCATCCATTTGGAAGAATTCTCATACGTTGTTGTTGTTCAAAGGGTTAATGGACGTTGGGAAACCAAATCATGTTGTTTCATCTGACATTAAACGAAATCAAGGTTAGTATTTTTATCATTTTTTCTCCGTTTGATATGCAAAGAGTTTGTTGTATACAATTGTTTTCGTTTGGCTCAAAAATATTCATTCACAGTAATGATTCGCATAAAGTGGTGTTTTCACACAATACTTTTTCTTTGTTTGGTGAGTGCAGAATATGTGTTTTGAGTTCCTTGTTTTGGATGACTGTTGATTTTGTCTCAATTGTAGGTGTAGTTCATTAATTTTTCACCATCACTCCATGAGAAACATTACCCTCACTGTTGAAAAAAATATTTTTTGGTGTATGTTGAAAATCAAATTTATTTCAAAAAAAATTTGTCAACGTGTGCAGTATCAGGTCAGAGTCATCTCAACAACAGCATCCAAAACCATCTCAGTAACTTTTCCAGAATGAGTTTCAAATCTCAGCGGATTCCACAATACATTAACGTGTGCAGTATCACTTCAGAGTCATCTCAACAACAGCATCCAAAACCATTAAAACAACTCTTCCAGAACTAATTTCAAATCTTAGCAGTTTCCAATAAGTCATAGTTCACAGTATGAGACTAGGAGTTGTCGATATTCAGTGATTTGTTGTTGAGCAACAATTCCACCTCAAGGAGATTGCCATTAAGATCGGTAATCAGTGGAACAATTTTCTGCTTCTACCTCTAAAACCATTCTCCTCATTGACCAAAGACAATAGAAAAGGCGTTGTGTATGTGGAAAGAAACATTCATGGTTTGAAGAATTCTTCAGGCTTCGTGAATATCATCTACTGGCAAGTATTAGGAGCAATCGCACTGTATATCGATGACGCAGTTATACGCAATAAGGATAACTCATAGAAGCAACTGTTTGTCGGCAGATATTCATGGTAGATTGCTGAGTAGACGAGAGTAGAATATATACGTTGTAGTGGCGTTATATTATTTTGGGGAAATAAACTAGTTGTTCAGAGTAAAGTGTCTTGATATATTAGTGATACCTAACATCAGAAGTGGTTGTATCTTACGTCAGCAACATGGGAAAGCGAAGAAGACATTCTCCTAGAAGGTTCTTCAAGTTCATCAAGTTTTTCGAGTTCTACAAGTTCATCTAGCTTATCAAACTCTGACAGAAGACAATAGAAACGTAAGATGAAAAGAAACAAGCATAATTCTAGCAGAGTAGGGGTGAGTCGTTTTCCAATTCCTTTGTTTATTGACACAGTTATCAGTGCATCGAATATTATACCAGAATTCAACCTGTTAATAGACAATGTAAACAGTTGGAATGATATTATTGATCATCATGCAAAGTTATTTGAATGGCCGAAATATCAAGGTATTCAACAGACATTAAGTAAATTACGAGGCACTGCTAAAATTTGATATGGAAGTTCAGCTGTGAATAATAGAAATTGGCCATCTTATAATTGGGAGAATTGAAAAATCAAATTATTAGAGACTTTCTATTGAAAAAGGGATATTTATACACTTTTCATGGAAGTAGCAAATCATAAACCGACACACGGATGTTCCTTATATGAATTTTTCTTTCAACATTTAGCTAGAATTGATAGCCTGAAGCTGAATTTTTCAGATGAGGATAAAATTTCGTTAGTTTTGGGTGCAATCGGAGACAAAAATATTGTATCAGCGGCCGAGACAGCAAATATCAGAGATTTGAATAACTTGGGCTCTTATTTACGTAATATTTTCATCAGAGAAGATGGAAAATTTTTGTAAAAACTACTATAAACCATTAAATGAATGCAAACCTAGTACCAGTTATAATGAAAATAGAAACGAAGACAGACAAACCTGTTTCATTCAGGCCATATAGGCTATCACAGCTTGATGAAAACATTATGGAAAAACATATTGACGAGTTACTTGCTGCGAATATTATACGAGAAAGTAATTCTCAGTATGCGAGTCCTGCGCTTTTAGTGAATAAAAAAGGAGGTGATAAACGACTGGTCATTGATTACAGGGCGTCAAATAAAATCACAGAGAAAATCATATTTCCGTTGCCAATAATTGAGAATCTCATTGATTTGCTCGGAGGTTATGTATTTTTTTGTACATTAAATTTAGCATTCCAGCTATCACTAGATAACACTACATCCGGATTCTATTCATAAAACAGCCTTTGTAACTCCAGAGGGGCATTTCTAGTATTTGAGAACCCTTTTTCGGCCTTTCTAATGCCCCCACTGAATTTCAAAGAATGATGACGGAATTTCTTGAACCCCTGAGACCCCTAGGAATTGCCCCATATTTAGACGACATCGTTCCATCAAATACAATTAACGAGGGCATGAAAAAGTTGATGAAAGTTTTTCAAATAATAGAAGAATATGGCCTCACTATGAAATTGTCGAAATCTGCATTTTTCGGTTTATGTAATATCAAATAATAGTGTCTCTATCAGTGAAGATAAAACGATTGCCATTAGAAAATTTCCTGAACCGAAAACCGTTCACCAGTAAGACAATTTCTTGGGTTCACTGGCTACTTCAGAGAATTCATAAAAAATTATGCTTCCAAAACTATTATTTTGAGAGATTCATTGGAAAACAAATGAAAATAGGAATGAACTCCTAAGCACTCGAAGCTAGTTGGCACTCTGAAAAACATAATTTGTTCAGTACCTGTCTTAGCCATATTCAACCCAAGGTTAGATACACACGTTCACATAGATGCTAGCCAAGATCGAATTGGAGGTATAATAACGCAGATGAATGGAACGGAAGAAAAGGTCATTGCATACTATAGCAAGAATAATTCATTTGATGAAAGAAATTTTCATTCATTCTAATTAGAATTGCTTGCCATAGTTGAAACAATATACCGTTTTCAGCATTATCTTCTTGGCATTGAATTTACTATTTTTACGGATTGCAGTGCTGTTAAAAATTCCATGAACAAACAATCAATCGTTCCGAGAATTGCGAGATGGATTTTGACCTTGCAGGAATACAATTTTGTCATGCAGCATAAACAGGGGAAAATGATGCAACATGTTGATGCCTCAAGCCAAAATCCAGAAGAGACGCGCGATGATCATGAACAAACAGTGAGACTGATAAATGAAGAAGATTGGTTAAAGGAAGGTCAAGAACAGGATGACAATATAAAATCGATTAAAGATATTCTTTTATCGGGTAATATGGAAAATAACAAGCATGTATTCAATAACTATGATCTACGGGAAAATCGAGTTTTCAAAATAACAAAATATGGAAGGCGTTGGTTGCTTCCAAAAAAATGCAGATGGCAAGTTGTCAAGCTGAACCATGACGACATTGGTCACTTTGCATTACAAAAGTCGATGGAGCGAATCAACAAACGCTATTGCTTTCCAAAAATGGAACGATTCATAAAAAATACATCAGGTCTTGTCTCAGCTGCCTGTATCACAAGTCAGTTGGAGGTAATAAAACCGGGATATCTTCATTCTATTCCAAAGTTTGCCAGACCATTTCATACCTTACACATCGACAATCTGTGACCATTCGTAACAAGTCGTAACGGTAATACTCATCTTTTAGTAATAATTAATGCATTTACAAAATTCAAGTTCCCTAGAGCTGTAAGTGACACCAAAGCTATCAATGTCATAAACGAATTGACAGCTATATTTTCAATATTTCGCAACCTGAAAAGAATTGTGGATGATGCTGGAACAGCTTTTACAAGGGAATTTCAAGACTTTTCTGACAGGAGGGGCATTCACTTACACCATACTACGGTAGGAATGCCCAGAGTAGCCTGTAACAAGGAATAAATAGTACAAAAAATAAAACAACGAACGCAACCCTTGCTAAATTAATGCTTAGTATAAACTTGAGAAGTCAGGCTGACCTATACATTGATGATGACAATGAATCCCTAGATGTCACTGAATTGCAAAAGCAAGCAGAAAGGAGATTGAAAAGAAATGAAGAGAGACAAAAAGAAGTATTTGATAGGAAAAAAAGTCCAGCTCACACTTTTGAAATCGGAGACTTGGTCTTAGTTAGAACTTCAAGGTTACCTGCTAATAATAATCAGAGCAAGAAGTTTTAGGAAAAGTATAAAGGTCTTTTCAGAATTGTCAAAGTTATTCCTCATGATCGTTACGAGGTGAAAGAGGATATCCATGCAACCAGGACCAGCAAAGGAGCTCCCTATGTATATGGTGTAGAAGACATCAAGTTATATGTTTCGTGTCCATAGATGGCTTTAGGTATCTAGGCCTATAGCTGAATAGATTACTTTAGGTATGAATGCCTATAGTAAACGGCTTTAGGTATCAAGGCCTATAGCTGAATAGATTACTTCAGGTATCAACGCCTATAGTAGACGACTTTAGCTATCAAGGTCTTTTCAGAGGCCTATAGCTGGATAAATTGAAGCCACTTCCAGTATAAAGGCCGGTTGTTGGACATATTGACTCAGCAGATGATCCAAGCGTCAAAACTTGGATTGATTAGTATGTTGCTCAACTTACAAAAATCCATTAGGCATCAATAATCACATGTTTGAATCTCCAGATCAAACAAATACGAGTTTCAAAACCTAACTTATAACATCAATTATCACATTTTTTTCACGTTGTTCAATAATAGCGGTAACTGTTTTCAACTATGAAAACCTTACAATAGTGTTCCACGTATCTGTCACAGTAGCAGACGAAACGTTCGGTACTACAAGTCCAAGTCAAAATTATGATATATTTGTTTTGAATTACAATTTTATCGATCATAGCATTTTTTTGAAACAGTGCGTTAGTCAAACAACACCGAATTACCATTACAAGAAGAATTCTATAATATATAAAACGATGAATATAAAAAATGAGAAATATTCTCACGCGCAAAATGT